ATGAGAGCTTTGAAATTTGTCCCCTGCTTCTGTCCTATGCCTCTTGCTTATATACTCCCTTCCTTGGCGGTTTGATCCTTCTATTTCGCCCAGATTCAAGTTTATCGAGAATCTTCCATTTATCTTTATCTTTCTTTTTTTCCCGCGGAAATCTTCTATTTATCCTCAAACTTGACATTTATCTTCAAATTTGACATTTATCTTCTTTCTGCGAGTAAATCGTCAAAACGTTGTTGTATCTTTGGGTTAGATTTTGTTAAAGTCGCAAGATAGGCTTTTATCGCGTTTTAGGACTTTTCGAGCCGTTTTGCGGTAAAACCGTTTTACGACTTTATACGAGATCGTCTCTTGATACAACGTCATTTTTAAATAAGTTTTTTGAGTTAATCGTAAAGTTTGGCAATGTTCGATGTTTCGGTTAATCGTTGCCGTTTTCTACGATTCGCTCGAAGTTTTATTAAAAACGCGTTTTTTACGATTTCTCACAAAAAATCTCGAGTAAATCGTATAGTTTAGGAAATGTTTGGTGTTTTGTTTGACCGTTGCCGTTTGTTAGGATTTCCTTGAGTTCTTTCGATTAAACAAGACTTTACGGTTTTTATCGTAAAACTCGACCGATAGGACGGATCAAGACGAAATGAGAGACATTTCGACCGTGGTTCGGAACATGATCGTGCCGAAGGACGTATGCCTTGAATCGAGGACGTGGAAGATCAAGGCTCGGGATAATCATTTCAACGTACGACGAGCCGAACCGGACCAGTTAAGCTCGCCGTACGGCGAGCTATCCGAGGAGCGACTAGCTCACCGTACGGCGAGCTATCCATGATGTGACTAGCTCGAGGCCACTTAGCTCGCCGTACGGCGAGCTAGTTCATCCGAACCAGCTCACGGTTTACGGCGGATGCGGTTTTTTGTGGTTTTGTACTTAACTCGGACGATCGTGTAACCAGATTATTTTTTCGTTTTTCCGAGATAACGATTTCCAAGTTTTCGGTGGATTTCCTTTGTTTGGAAATTCTTTTAATTTTATAAAACGATTTCTCGAGTTTTATAAAACGACTTCTCGAGTTTTATCAAACGTATTTTTATTTTGGTGGAGACTTTTAGCCAATTATTCCGTCGTGACCGATTTTGACACCAACATAATCGCGGAGATAGCGAATCTCAGTTGGATCACCAGCAGTTTTCCGACCCCGTCGGCGTTTTCTGCGAGTAACTTGAGATCGTTCCTCGGCCGTTTTTGCATGCTCCATGCAATAGAGCTCCTCCTCGTCCTTGGTGGCAGAGTGTTCGGGAGAAGAATCAGCCTGAGGACTGTGAACTTTCCTCCTTCTTGGATGAATGTCAGCGTCTTCCTCCGAAGTTTCGGATTGGTCGCTTGTTTCCAGATTCACCCTTTTGACACAGTCGTCCTCGATCTCTTGTTCGCGAGAAGGAGATTTTTCCGAGTCCTTTTGTGTCACGTCAGGGTTATCGTTTTCGGAGGCTTGCCCCGGTTGATTACCCTGCTTGGTTCTGGGAAGATCCATAGGAGTCGCGAAATCGAGTCTCGTTCCGTGAATTCTTGTGGTTCTGCGGGGGCGGATAGCCTTGTTCTTTGTTGTTAGGGTTTCGACCTGTTTCGCAAGAGATCTGATTAGCTTGTCTTGCTCGTCCATCCTTTTCTGATAGGCGGAGAGTACCTCCTGCAGGGATGTAGTGTTAGCTGCAGCATAACTGTGGTCGCGTCTGGAGTCAGAGTGTCAACGTTTTCATTTTCACGAGTTGGTTGTTCTTCTATCATCGTAGTTGATTGAGCGTAATGCGGTCTGAGAGTTAGACAGATCCGTAACCCCCCCCCCNCCGCCCTCTTTCTCACAAAACTCTCGGAACCGAAAGTCACACTGTTCATTTCCGTGAATAAAGGAACTTAGGGAAAATCCTATTTTCCCAGAGGTCCGACTATCTGCTTAACCACACAGAAGCAATCAGAATACGATAAAAACAGTAAAGTATTAAGAGAATCGAAAAGAGAGCAAAGAGGTTTCTTATTCCGATTTTGCGTAAGAACGGTAAAACGAGGTATAAGCCTTGGCCACAAGAGCTGACGGCGATTTTCCTAGATCTGGAAACCTAAGACTAAAACCCTAGTTGAGATGCAGCTCGATAACAAAAATGGAAAGTTTCCTAAATGGTAAGTTTTTCTGTGTGATGAGAGCTCTTAAAATCATCTCTTGTTCTCTTCCTCGACCTTCTGCTTATATACTCCTTCTTTAGGTTGTTGGTTCCTTTTTCACTCTGAGTCGCGCTTATCAGAAATTTTCTCGATCTTTCCAGTTTTCATCAGAAAACTTATATTTTATCTTCAAACTTGAATTTTTCCCACTTCTGTGAATAATGAGTAAACCGACATCATATCTTTGGGCTGGACCTTGTGTAAAATCGTGAGTGGACTTCAATCGCCTTTTAGGTCTTTCCGAGCCATTTTGCAATTTAGCCGTTTTACGACTTTAGATGTGATTGTTTCCTGATATGATGCCATTTTTATCAAACATCTCGAGTTAATCGTATAGTTTGGCAATGTTCAGTGTTTTGTGTAACCGTTACCGTTTTGTACGATTTACTCAAGGTTTTCCGAGAAAACAAGTCTTTCGCGTTTTTTTATATAACATCTCGAGTTAATCGTATAGTTTGGTAATGTTTGTTGTTTTGTTTAACCGTTGCCGTTTTATACGATTTACTCGAAGTTTTACGAGAAAACCGGTCTTTTACGGTTTTTATCGTAAAACACCAACGGTAAGACATATCAAGACGAAACGAGAGATGTTACGATCACGGTTCAGAGTGTGATCGATTCGAGGGGCATGGATGGTTTAGTTCAGCTCGCCAACAGGTGAGCTAGTCGAGCACGGCCAGGTCGCTTGTTGGCGAGCTGGACGAGATGGTTCAGCTCGCCAACAAGCGAGCTGGTCAGGGCTTGGCCAGCTCGCCTGTTGGCGAGCTGTACTGGACGAGGCTCGCCAATAGGCGAGCTGGTCGGGGCTTGGCCAGCTCGCCTATTGGCAAGCTGGACTGGATGGTTCAGCTCGCCTGTTGGCGAGCTGGTCAGGGATGGCCAGCTTGCATGTTGGCGAGCTGGACTGGTTGGTTCAGCTCGCCAACAGGTGAGCTGGTCAAGCACGGCCAGCTCCCCTGTTTGCGAGCTGGTCGGTCATTCGGTTTCAAGCGTTTCTCATTTTCTCGATTTGAGATCCTCTTGGTGAATATAAGGAGAAATAATCAAAGACGTTGATCTCAAGGTTATCGTTTTTGACCTTAATAACGGTTAACCGTTCCGAGGAGTTTGGATGTTACGGCCGTGTTTTGCTACTTTGGCCAATTTGGCGAATCGCGGATTGTTTTATTCGGTTTTCCGTTGATTTCCAAGATAAAAATTGTTAAGTTTACAGAATTCCTTTGTTCAGAGAATCCTTAGATTTCTTCTCGAAGCTTTTTCGTATTTCTTAAAACATATTCTTAACTTTGCGGAAAGTTTTGCTCGTTGATTCTGTTGTAACCGATTTTGATCCCAACAGAGCTGTCTTGTAGTAAAGAAGAATTCCCTGCCCCATGGTGGGCGACAATTGGTGTTTCCATATCCGGTCAATGATGTAGTATTTATAAATGATGTGACAGGGTGGAGATTTTCGTATTTATAGTCAATAATAAACAAGCTCGGTCAATTACAAGAACTAGAGATGCTCGTCTATACAAAATGTCTAAACAAGTATCTCACTAATTTTGGTCTCTGGTCGTCTAGGACGAGCTCGTTTAGTGGCCAAGGACATCTAAGACTTTGGTGGTGATAGAAGAGGTGATGCTCTCCTTTTTCTGTACGTTTCTGACCGTCCTATCGATCAGTCTGACGTCTTTTATTTATAGTAAAGTAAGTTATGTGTTCTAGCGAATCACCATTCATTGATTAACGGGCCAGACCTGATTTTGGCTTAGCTCGTAGTGGACCTTGTGTTAAGCCCATCTTCAACAAAAACTCAAACAATAAATACTGCTTTTTGTTAACCTGTCATTTGGCAAAGCATAAGAAACTTTCATATTCATCTCTCAATAACACTTTTAACACTAACATTGAGTTGTTACATATTGACGTCTAGAGACCTTTCTTGGTTGAAACTATTGATGGATATTGTAACTTCTTGACAATTGTAGATATATGATCACTCACATGTTGTTTCAATTTTTTTTTTTTTTTTTTTTTTTTTGATCACTCACATGCTGCTGGGTTTTATCTCCTTCGAACAAAAAATGAAGTTCTCACAATCTTTCCTTCATTCATTCAACAAGTCGAGAATTTATATAACACCAAGGTGAGATCTGTACGGTCTGATAATGCTCCAGAGCTGCAGTCACTTAGTTGTATCAACAGAATGGTATCTTGACTTGTCACTCTTTCCTTGAAAGTGTAAAGCAGAACTTGGTGGTTGAAAGAAAACACCAACGCATCCCCAATATTACTCGGGCCTTAGCTTTTCAGTCAAAAGTTTCTCTAAGTTATTGGGCAGATTGTATCATCACAGCAGTCTTTCTCATTAATAGAACACCTTCTCAGTATGAGTGACACTCACACCTTAGAAAAAAATCAATTTACTGACTCAGTTTTCAATAGATAGTAGGAAGTAGGATGTTCATATAAGTCAGTCAGGTACCTAATTTTGTTAAAGGCTTGTCACTTAAACACAATAAATTTAGCACATATGTAAAGAAACATTTTTAGCTGCTCGTAGTTAAACTTAGTTTTACGTATATGGATTCACTTGCTTTCTTCCAAAGTATATCGCATTGTTTCCAAAAAACAACAGAAATTAGCCTCTGTTTTTTATCCACGTTAACCAACGATGTTTTGGTGTCTGGAAAACATGTTCTTATAAGCATGTACTCAACACAATCAAATCAGAAACTTAAAAAATAACCCTCAAAAATATCAAGTTGTTAAAGATTCAGTCTCTATGTTGACTTTTAGTTTAGTAGCTGGAACATTGAACTATTTCTTCTTCAGCAATGCAAACAGTATCTTCACCAGAGACTGTACCTCTTTCAAACTGACTTGGCCAATAGACGCTTGAAGTCTCATTACTATCTTCAACAGTTTCTGGAACCGTTGTTACAGGTAAACACAAGAGAGGTTTAGGTGGAACCTGGAGAGCCTCTAGAGTCCCCTCTAACATTTCAATGACTTTGATCATTGTTGGACGATGAGATGGATTGGTCTGAATGCACCACAGACCAACCAATACCATTTTCCTTTCAATTTTCTCTTCTTCTTCGGTTATATGATCACCAAAAATCCTCATGACTTCTTCCCTTTCAAAATCCTTATAAATCCAATTCGGAGAGTACATTGTTGCTCCAATCATCTCAAGAACCACCATCCCATAACTATACACATCTGACTTATGCGAAACTCCTCAAAAATTCTTTGAAAAAACTTCAGGAGCAATGTATCCTGCCGTTCCTCTCATGTCTAACATCAACATGATGCTCTCCTTATTTTTACTAAGCTTAGCAAGACCGAAATCTGAAATCTTTGGGCAAAGATCTTTGTCCAGAAGTATATTTTGCGGCTTTATATCGAAATGCACAATCCTCGATACACAACCATTATGCAAATACTCTAGGCCACGAGAGACACCCACCGCAATGTCGTACAACCTTTCCCATTCCATCTTCACAGACATATTTTCGGAAATAAACTTATCTAGGGATCCATTTGGCATGAACTCATAGATTATCGCTCTCTTGTTCCTTTCATAACAAAATCCAAGAAGAGAAACAATATTAACATGAGATGTTCTACTTAAGATAGCCACTTCATTGATAAACTCTTCTCCATTTCCCTCTGACTCCTTCAAGATCGTTACTGCAACATCTCGGCCATCATCTAGTAACTTTCCTTTGTAGACAGTTCCATATCCTCCTTTCCCAAGAAGATGCGCAAATGAGTTTGTCATTTTCTTGATTTTTGCGTAACTATATCGCTTCAATTGAACAACCGTCTCAATGTTTTTATCATTCCAATCACTCTTTCTCACCTTCTTTGCTCTCAATATTATGGCCATGACAATAATAATGATCAGCACAGTTAAACCTGCTGAGATTCCTGCAATAAGATAAAAGAATCAAACTATAGGTCCTTATGCAAACGAGGTTCTGCAATACGGATACATGGATATGATACCAGGTATAAGCTTTGACTTCCATGATGATTTTTCTGTTAAAATTCAAATTAATTATTGTTGGCCAAAAAAATGACATTGTGAAATGACAAAAGAAAACAGGATAAAACTTACGTTTTGTAGGAACTTTAAAGGGTTGAGACTTTCGGGGAGGTCCACTAGTTGTTGGAGCAACTGCGCTTCCGCTAATTGTTGGAGCCACTGCGCTTCCGTTGTTGATTCTTTAACATGTGACATAATTACATATCAGCTCACAAGAAGTAGCAAACTGAAATTCAGAACATATAACTTTGGATCATTCTAACACCAACGGAACTAACAGAATCATAGATCCAAACTACTAACCTTGTGCTGTTGGGAGTAGTGGACGGGCAAACACTGATGAGACGCGCCTCTCCTCTCTTGAGGACAAAGCAGGTGGTTGAGATCGAAAATTCAGTGGAGGTGCCGTTGATTACCGGCCAGACAGGATAATCGCATTTGTTTTCTATGCTCAAGTTTGTCGTACTGCTCGGCTTTAAGGCTGTACGTGCCTCAACCCAAACAAACCCTTCCAGCAAAAAATAAACAAAAGCAACTAGAAAAAAGTATCAGCAATAGTGTAACTAAACCAGAAACATTTTCTTGAATAATACGAACAAGTATACCTAAGACGATTGTTAGTGAAACAAGGAATATCAATGGAACAAATCCCTCACCCATTGGCTTCAAGAAGAAGGAAAACGAAAGTCTTTAGCAAAACAAATAAACAGGAGAACTAGCCTGTAATCTGTACATTGACTAAAAACTTTGAAGAAAGTTTTGTCAAGGAAGAAATAAATTGGAATCTTCATGTGGCTATAAAATATTTAAACATATCCTGCTTTTTTTGTGATTTTTTTCCCTTTATAGTTGTTTTTTTGACGAAGTTATAAACTTAAAAAGAAATTTGTAGGTCATTCAAGAATACTAATTGTCAATAGTTTGAAACGTAATTTTTTTGGTGTTAAGTACTGCTTTATTATTATGAGTTTTTAACTTAAAACTAAACTAGATTTTGAACCCGCACATCCGTGCGGGTAATTTCCCATTTTATAAAAATATAACAAAATATTTCAGATATATGATTTACATTTTATTCTTATATATTGTATAACTCTATAATCTTATTATTTTAATTTATATAATATACTGTTGTAATTTTGTAAAAATATCATATATTTTTTAGATAATTTTTTTGTTGTGAGTTACAAAAATGTATGTTAACATTTTTTGTATAAAAATATTACATGATTTAAAAAATTAATATGTTTTAACAGTGAATAAAAGAAATTTTTAAAATAAAATATTTTTCTTTACCAATTTAATATATTTTATATTAATTTCACACTGAATTTTTATTTTAGTATAATATATAATATCATTAAATTATAAAATATACCAAATTTTATTTTTAATTAACATTATATATATATATATTAATCACGAAATTAAACAATATATATTTTATAAAAATATTTAAATTTCTTGGTAAGATCTTGTTAGATATTTTCTCAACAGATTTTGTTATAAATGAAATTAAAATATAAGTTTATAGTTATATATTATTAAAATATTTCTTCAGTAATATATATTTGATTGATTAATATAAATAATCAAATATGTCATATTAATGAAATGGTCCAAGATGACTTTTGTGTAGTAGATATAAATGGTACTTCTCTTTTAATATAGAAGATGGCGTTAGTGGATTGCTTTCTGTATTATTTAAAATCATATCTAATGTCTTCTGTTTTATATTATAAGTAATTTTACGCAAGTCTTTTGTTTCAAATTGTAAAACAATGTTTATATTTTATGGCCAAGGGAAATTCAGCGAATTATCACTTATAAACTATAAGAAAACATGGGCATAACGACTATAGTTTTTGTCTTTATATTGTCGTAAATTATCAATTACAACTACTTAACGACATGAGCGATTCATTGTTAGGTGTCTGTCGTAATAGACAATTAAACGTAAAGTTGTCGTACACTTTACGACTAAAAATTTTGTCGTAAATTAGTTCATAAATTGGACATTGATTAAGACGTAAAGTTACGTCATTGCATTTCTATGTCCATTGGTCGTAAAGTTTGTTCGTGAGGTAGTCGTAATAGTTAGACATTAACTAGAATAAATTAGTCGTAATATTTACGATGACTTAACATCAACTGTCGTCAAACTCGGAGCTGTGCACCACGGCCCGTTACTCCATTTGCGCCTGCTTTTGTAGAGTGGGGTCGGGGTTAATGGCCATACATCTATTATGTCACATCTGTGCAAGGGCTGGGTTTGTTTCTGCAATAATATCGAACATTTCCGCCATGGTCTTAATATGGCTCATGCTTGTCTGGTTGTCCGTCCGGAGCTCCCAGATGATCTAGGTAAAGAAAAAGAAAACCTAGAACTATCACACTAAATCTAATGGCGATCAAAGCTCCCCGGGAACGGCACCGGCACCAAATTTGATACCATTCAAATTACCATAAGGAGTGACTTTACTCTCTCAAATAAGAGATCAGCTGTAGTACTTAGGGATCGAATCCACAAGGAACTAGAAAATCAATTAAATCTAATAAGTAAAATTTCAGTAATTAAGTAAACATGAAATAGTAAATATCCTAGTTGAGTAAGACAATTACTCCATTGAGACGTTTCTGATCAAGGTAGACTTTGTTTTGGGTCATTGGCATGAGGGTAATGGTCTTTCCATCCTGCTTCAAAGAGTATTGGTTAGTGAAACCATCATGAGACACTCTCTGATCTGACTGCCACGGCCTACCGAAGCGTAAATGACAATTTCCCATTGGTATCACCTCACAAAGAACTTCAGCTTTGTACCTGCCAATAAATAAAGGAACTAGAACTTTCTTAGTAACTTTCATACATCTACTTTCCATTGATCCATTTCATTATAAACGGTTCATTGCACCTGGTTGTTTTCAAACCAAGCTTTTTTACCATCACCTCACTAGCAACATTGGCGCAACTGCCACCATCTATGGTAAGGCTACAAACCTTTTTTGCACTTCACATCTGGTATGGAACAGGTTGTCTCTTTGTTCATTTTCTTCTGGTTTTACCTGCATACTCAAAACCTTTCTAGCAACAAGTAAATCACCTTCAGGCGCTTTGATAAAAAAATTCTTCAGAAGAGTCTGAGCTTGAATCTTTCTCCTCCTCAGTTCCAGTCTCTCCATTTGACATGATGACCATTGTCCTTCTATTTGGACACTCCTTTGCCATGTGACCTTTTCTCTGACATTTAGAACATTGAATGTCACGTTTTCTGGTAAAAGAAGATTCAACCTTACCTTTCTCTTGCTGAATGGTTTGTGGTTTGTTAAATTTAGGCTTGTATTCGTCCTTAGAATAGCTTGTCCTCATGCTGGAAGTTCTTTCCCCAAAGGCATTGATCTCTTACGCTGTTTCACCACCAGAATGGCTTTGTGGAGCATCTCCTCCATGGTTTCATCTCCAAGCGATCATGAATCTCTTTGTTCAAACCTCCAAGAAACCGACATGGTTGCTTCTGGATCTTCATCAATATCAACCTTAATCATTAGTGTTTCCATTTCTTGAAAATAATCCTCAACACTGCGATTGCCTTGAGCTAGCTTCTTCGTCCTCTGATGCAAGTCTATGTGGTAATGACCAAGAACAAACTTTTTCCTTATGATAAACTTCATCTCCTGCCAAGTATTCACTGGGATTTCACTTGTTCTTCTCCTGTTTCTCATCACATGATTCCACCAGTTAATAGCATAATCTGTAAATTCAGGGGTAGCAAGTCTTACCTTTTTGGTTTCAGAGAAGCGTTGGCAATCAAATACCGAATCAATTTTCTTTTCCCGCTCAAGGTAAGCATCTGGCTCGTTCTTTCCATGAAAGGTTGGGATTTTTAGATTCATACCTCCAAGGTTATCATCAAAATGACCACTGGTGTCTCTTTCTTTTCTATGTCTTCTGTGACTGCTCTTTGATGATTCGGATTTATGGCTATAATAATCATCTTCATCAGACCTTTCCTTTTTTGATGATCCTTCCTTTCTAGCATCCGGTTGCTTTTGTTGATCCTCCTGAACTCTATCTAAGCGTACATGGATCTCCTCCATTTGATCTTTTATCTTTCTCTTGAAATGATCCGTCAAGGCATTAACTTGAAGTTGAGACAAGGCTGGTTCAGGGGTTTGATCATCACTTTTGTCTTCCTCCTGAGACATGGGTTCCTGCGAAACTAACAAACAAAGAAAAGACAAAAAAATATGTAGAACCAAGCTGGTCCTTAAAGGGTTTCCTGCACAAGCTACAAACTTTAGAAATCAAATCCTCACAAGTGTTTCTCTCTGATTTTTTTTCTTTCTCTCTCAATGATTTTGTAATTATCAAGAGTTCCAATCAAACAAAGCAATTCAATCTAGTGAGACTCTTCAAACAAACAGACGTTTTAGATAGAAATAAAAGAAGACTTTTTTTTTTAATCTGATTTTACCAAGCTTAAGACTGGATTTGTCGTCGGTCTGATCGGATTTATCTTTGATCCTTTTTTCTCTTTTTTTATTTCAATTTTTCTTTTTCTTTTCTTCTAATTTTTATATTAGGAAACCAAGTTGCTCCAGTTTCCTTACAACAGATAGAAAGAGAAGAAGAAGAAATGTTTGTGAAGAGATGAGAAGATGGATAGAAAATAGATACCGAAACCTCAAGTGGCTCTGATACTACCTGATGTGACCGTAGGCAAGGCTGCAGCCCCTGGAATCACTTGAGGAAGGTATGGATAATCCTGGTCTCTTAGAAGGTCATATAACAAGTAGCCTAGGTATATTAAACCCAACACACAATACTTCACTTAAGACGATCTTCAAGGAGAAAGGCGTTGGACCTTTGGATTTGAGAGATCGTGTGGCTTGAAACTTAAGATTATTAACCCCAACACCCAGAGCCTAGGACGCTCTCTGATCTTCAGCTGGTAGAATTGGTACCACAAGATAGGATGGAATTATCTTGATGAACCAGTTTGATCTTAGAATCCACTAAAGATCGAAATGTTCACAAGGAACAAACGAGAATCACTCTCTAAACACAAAGGTTTTAATCTCAAACAAGTCTCATTTATTCATTGGTAAACTTAGGCATTTTATAGAATTTACAGGATAAAAGAAACGAAATAGATGTTTGAAAGACTAAAGAAACAATGCAGAAAACAAGATGTGGTAAACATAAAACAAAGACTTGACTTTTGACTGAAGACTTGGACTGACTCTTGACCTCCCACACGTCGTTGACTCAAGCTGGCACTCCCGGGCTTTTCTTGGACGAAAATATATCTGAGAAGAGCTTGTTTATTTCTGGCCCAAAGTTGTAGACCTTAGAAACCTCATTTCGGCCCAGAAACTGCCCAAAATAGGTCCAGTCGTCCAGCAAGCTTTCTTTGGCTTTCTTGAGTGGTCTGCCCAAAGAACATGACTTAGAACAGATAATAGATTGGTTTGGGTAATAAGAAACCAAAAAAAAAGCTGAGTGATCAATCGCATGGGCCTTTATAGATGAATGGATCGAAAATCATGAAATATCGACTTTCTTTCAAGTTCGCCCATTCCAGGCTTGATCATATCTAGTGATCTCTTCCTCATACTCCTTGAACTAGTGAAGTGTCCATAATTTTTCCAAGTGAGCTCAT